TCTGGAAAGGCAAAGCAAATTTTAAACAGGGCTCTTTATCCTTTCCCGAGGGTAATGCATTATCTGTTCATTTTGAAAAGCTGCCCGGTGTCTTATATCTCCTGCTTTAATATATTTTTTCAATTTATTATGCTAGTATCTCTGAGTTTATATTATAATTAGTAAGATCATTATTAAATAATAATAAAGAACCAGATCAGGAATAAAATTAGGGTATGGAGACCAACAGTAGAGTGGGGTAATCATGGCAGTGATACGCCTGTTCTGCTCTTCTCCCAGCAGACCTCCTTCCTGCCAGCCCTGATTCAGCACTAAGAGACACCAGCTTCCAGATGTTGATAAGTTGCTGACAAATGGGGTCATCCACCAGATGATTTTTTTGAAACAGTACTTCCCAAAGTATAGGCTCCAATCCATATGTATCAGAATCCCCCAGTGTGCTTGTTAAAAACTCATATTTTAAAGTTCTGTTCCTGATCTACTGAATCAGAAATGCTGAGAGTGGGTTTGAGGGATCTGAATGCTAAAAAGCACACTAAAATTTGAGAATCACTGCCTTAGAGTAAAGTGTGAAAAAAAAAATGGAGGGAAATCCCTTCTGGCACTAAGTAAGAAGGGAGGAGGAGGCTGAATCCTCTGTGAAGAAATAGGAAGCAAGCAAGCTAAAGACGAAGTTTGCCTAGTTCACAGCTTTCCTTAGGTTTTACTGTAGTTCTCACTAGGGTAGATTTAAACCAGACTAAAGTGTGCTTTGCAAACTTATGCTGTATAATGCTCGTGAGTGTGTTACAAACCTCAAAAGTGCACCTGCTTCTAAGCTAATTCAGAGCTAGAAATGCCAAACATGAAGTTTGCAGCTTCCTAGAAAAGTTAGGCAGGTAAATTAACAGTTAAAATACAGTGAGGTCCACAATGAAATACCACTTCACACCCACCAGGGTGGTTATAATCAAGAAGGCAGACAACAGCAAGTGTTGGCAAGGGTGTGGAGAAGTTGAAATTCTTATACAGTGCTGCTAATGTAAATTACCGGAATGTAAAATGACGTAACTTTGGAAAACATTTTGACAGTTTCTCAAAAAGTTGAACATAGAGTTACCATGTTATTCAGCAATTCTACTCCTAATAATATACTCTCAAAATAACTGAAAACACATGTTCACACAAAAACCTGTATACAAACAACATGGTTTGTAATAGCCAAAAGGTGGAAACAACCAAAATGACCATCAACGAAAGAATAAACAAATGTGGAACATTCGTACAATGGAATATTATTTATCAGTAAAAACAAATGAAGTACTGATACATGTTATAACATGGAAGAACCCTGGAAACATTATGCTAAGGGAATTAGCCAGATAAAAAAGGGCATATATTATTCCATTTATATGAAATGTCCAGAACAGACAAATCCATGGAGACAGAAATTAGTTTAGTAGTTAACAGGAATTCGGAGAAAGAGGGATAAGGGGTGACTGCTAATGGGTACAGGGCTTTTTTCAGAGGGTGATGAAAATACTCTAAAATTAGATGGTGGTGATTGCTTAGGTCTGTAAACACACTAAAAACTACTGAATTGTTAACACTGAGTTGTATGTGAATTATATTTCAATTTTTAAAAGTGACAGAAGAAATATCCAAGAAAAAAGTAGTAAATTCGACCACATTAAAAAAAATGCTTTGTGATAGTCTATAGGAAAAACTCACTTCTGTTTTCTTATGCTCACACCCACAACACTTCTGACACCAGATATAGGTTTTCCACACATCAAGCAATTCTGTGACACCAGCTGAGTACCCTACAATTCAATTCAGTCCTGACACTATCTACTAGGCGTTAGCATCAGATCTCACAGGTTAAGGGTTCGGGGCCACAAGACTGCCCACCCACCATTTCAGACACCAACTACAAGTCCAGGCTGTCACCGATGCTTCTAACCAACCAGCTATAATAATCAGAGGTTCCCATGACGCCCTCCTCAGTTTCAATTAATTTGCTACAGCAGCTCACAGAAAACAGTTTATTTACTAGGTTTCTGGTTCATTATAAAGGATATAACTCAGAAACAGCCAAAGGAAAGAGTTGCATAGGGTGAGGAGAGCAGAAGCTTCTGTCCCTGTGGAGTTTAGGTGTACCGCACTTCCAGCACGTGGATATGTTCACCAACCCAGGAGTTCTCCAAAACCCCTAGTTCGGGGATTTTTATGGAGGCTTCATCACATAGGCACAGTGAATCATTAGCTCAATATCCAGTGCCCTCCACTTCCCAGAGGTTAGGGATGTGAAGCTGAAAGTTCCAACCTTCTAAGCGTGGCTTGATTGGCCTTTCTGGCAATAGCTTATATCCTGAAGATACCCAGGATCCCAGTCAGAGTCTCCTCATTGGAACAAAAGAGGCTCCTATCACCCAGGAAATTCCAAGAGATTTTGGAAGCTCTGTTAAGAACCAGAGTCAAAAATCAAGTATTAGAACAAAAGATGCTCTTAGAGCTCTTATCACTTAGGAGCATCTTTTGGGACATAACCCTTTTGAGAAACAGCAGGTAATTGGGCATGTGGAGGGTTGGCAGTCAATTAAAAATGATGGACTTGTTAATAAATGGTGTTCGGATAACTGAAGAGCCATATGAAAAAAAGATAAAATTGAAATTGTTTTTCATACCATATGCTAGTATTAATTACAAAAATGAAGCCATAAAATACTAGAAGAAAATATAGGCCTCAGTAACTAGGAATGGTAAAACTTTCTTGGCTCTGACTCAAAATCCAGGGAAAGAATTAAGAAATTTGGCTACTTGAATCTAGTCAAGCCTCTAGCTCTAACTACCAGTTTACAAGAAATTTAGGAGATAAAAGAACCAGTTTATCTCCACCACAGGGTGCAATCGGCAAAATCTATAATATGGATACTTCTGCTTTGTGAGTGGTTTTCTTTAACAATTAAATGTAAAAAAAAAGGAGGGAGGGGTATCTTTGGATTAAGAGACTCAAAAGACACATTACCTGAATGCAATGTATGGATCTTGTTTGTACTCATTTTTTAAAAAAACTATTAAAAAGGCAATTTTGAAACAAAATTCAAACACTGTGTGGATAATTGGATAATTCTAAAGAATTATTAATTTTATTAACTGCAATAACAGAAGTGTGTTTATGTTAAAAAGAGGCCTTACATTTTAGAGATATAGATTGAACTATTTACAAATGAAATGGTATGATCATTGATATTTATTTACTTTAATCCAGTAAGGTGTGTGTGGGAAATAAGAGGTATAAATGAAATTAAATGGTATATAGATTAATAATTATAAAAGTTGAATGATAAGTACATGAGGATTCGTTATACTATTCTTGTTACTTTGGAGTAAATCTAAAATTTCCCAGAGCACTGATGGCCTTTGTGGCAGGAGAATGCCAAGATAGGGTGCTGCCAAGGAGGTTCATAGTGATAAAGGACTGAACTCTGAGAGTGTCATTGGAGTGGAGGGGAGGGTCTAGAATTGGACAGTATGAAGGAGATAGAAGTAGTAGAACTTGATCTAATAAATAATTGAGAAGCTAAAGAAACAGGAATCAGGGATTGTTGTCAGGTTTCAGGCTTAGATGAATTGCTGCATGTTGGGGCCATTTACCAAGCAAGGCAGTTCAGAAGAGCTTAAAGTTAGGGGTTAAGGGAGTGATAGATTCCATTTCTGACAGATTGCATTTGAGGCGCAATGTGGAACATCAGAGTTTAGAAAAGAAGTCTGCAGTAGAGATAGTGTTTCGCCGATTATCAACTGCAGCATAACTTCCATGGAAACGTGGAGTGTAGGCTCAAGAAAATGCTCCCTTTATGAGCAGGCTCTTCTTACCAAATTAATAAATTACTATTGGGCTGTTTTAACATTAAAAGAACAAAGTGGCTTAAACTGGGAGAATGATATAAGAGAATAAAATAGTGATATATGATATCCATTCTGTCCTATTTCCTATTAATTTCCATTTTGAACATGTGATAGATATTCAAGGTTTAAGCGCAGGATTTTCTTGTTTCATTTTCTTTCCCCTAATAAAGGAGTTTTCAAGAGAACATTAAGGCTTTAATACATTGGGGGGTGGGGAGGAAATCTCATGTGAAAGATAAAATCTTACTTTTTATTTTTTACCTCGTTTATTTTTTTCTTCTATTTTTTTTTCCATGTTGTCTACAGTATTATGAAAACTGAAGAAAAACATCAAAACCATCTAGATCCAGGGCCACAGTTCAATTTTCTGTCTTTTTTTCAATTTTCTGTCCTTAAAACAGCCAAGATAGTGTTAAATCTTTGGGTTGACATGTGTATTCAGAAGGAGCCATGGAGATACTGATATAGTAAGTTTGTGTTAGAGATTGATTTATGCCTGGGACAGGGCAAAGAGAAGAAACTCAGCCCCTACGGTATTTGTTGCTGGGGAAGCATCAGGCCATCTACTAGGCTCTAATAAAACATGACAATAACATTTTGGTTTGAAGCACAGAATGATTTTCCAGAGCAAAATTCAAGTTTGTCAGCAATTGAGGCTCTTGTCGGTCTTTTTTTCTTTTTAAGATAATGGTATCTTTAGCATTTATATTCAAATAAAAAGAGAAGGATATTGATACCTTTCCTGTTCTGTTCTAGGCTTATTCGCAGAATCTTGTGTTGACTGCCCATTTCAAACTCTGCAGACTGCCATTTGAAGCCTCCATAATTTTGTTTCACCCAAGACCACTTAAATCAGAATTTTGATGGGTTGGACTCAGGCATCAGTTTTTTAAAAAACTTTCCCCTGGTGATTTGGATGTACAATCAAGGTCAAGACCCACTGTGGTTCCAATATGAGGAAGGAAAGACAGCAGGAGCATTTGGATTATCTATGGTCAGAATACCTGTGAAAAAGCTTTTCAGAGCTTCAGGTGGCAGCTATGATGTGTGTGCATGTGTGCGTATGTGTGGGTGTAATGCGCATGACCTCTGTCTGCCCTGGCTCACAGGTGAACGCCGTGCGGGTGTATGTGAACAGCTCCTCAGAAAACCTCGACTACCCGGTCCTCGTCGTGGTTCGCCAGCAGAAAGGGGTATTGTCCTGGCAGGTTCCTCTGCTCTTCCAAGGACTGTGAGTGGGTCTTCTCCCAAACACTTCCACTACATCAGTGTCTTTCAATGTCCTAGACCTTAATTGGTCTTTTCCCTAGGGAAAGGATAAATTTCACATTTGGAATGTTGACATTATGCATGCTCATCGCGAACACTGGTTGTGTTGCATACCCTGGCATGCTCAGCTCTGTTCAATTCTGTCCTCTTTGAAGTTCAGATAAGCTATTTTGCCTAGATTTGTAGCACCCGGAAGAACTTGTACCATTTTAATTCTATCCAGGATTAAATAAATATTCTGTAACTCTTGGTTGGTTAGCGGGCCATCCACCGAGGACAGAGCTAGGCCCAGCGGTTGACTTAAGTGAGCAACGCCTCCTCCGTTGTTCAGAATGCCCACCAAGTGTGTGTTCTTGAGTATTACTAAGTGATAGGAGCTGGGGATACAACAGTGAAAAAAAAAAAAAACCAGAGTCGTTGTCCTCATTGAGTTTATATTTTTACAGGTGAAACTATCCAAAGCATTACAGCGCTGTAAGAAAAAACCCAGAAGTGCATACAGACATGGACATATACTATGGTGTTAAATTGTTTTTAAAAGTTGAAGAATTTGATAATTAAAATACTGACTCTGAGAGCCTTGACTTGGACTCTGGGGCTTTCTTTATGCTCCATTTAGCAAAAGCTTAAAGAATGAGAAAATGGACTCTCCTGGTTGTTTCATCAGGACAGTTTCTCTTTTATAATTTGATATTTTTCCTCCCTGAATTAGGAGGATGGTTTAATGTAATGTAGATACAGCCTAAGTGAATTGGTCATCCAAAACAGTCTTCACATCCCTGTTATCATGTCACAGAACCCTACATCTAAAACACTGATTCTAAAATCACTATTAATAGGTCCAGTCTGAAATTTAAAATATAAGGACTTGAAAACAAATTTGAGGAGAAATGAAATACTTCTTTCCTGCTTGTTCATTGAGCCTGTTTCTCATTCTTACTGGTTTTTTTCCCTCTATTGGCTGCTACAGATACCAGAAGAGCTACAACTACCAGGAAGTAAGCCGCACCTTATGCCCCTCAGAAGCAACCAATGAAACAGGACCACTGGAGCAACTGATATTTGTAGATGTAGCATCCATGGCACCTCTGGGTGCCCAGTACAAACTGCTGGTTACCAAGATCAAGCACTTCCAGCTGCAGTAAGCAAGACTCACTGGGGCCTTTCTCTGTTCACTCGTCTTCTCTTCCTGTGCTTGTGCATGCTCAATCTAGCTTTCTTCCTTACAGCTCAGCATTCTAGAAAGAAATTATCTACTTGGCATATTGTCTTAACACCTTCAGATCTCTCTTGCTTATAGCTGGGCAGCAGAGCTTTATATTTTCTGTGCAATAGGGAGGCGGTAGAGGACTAGTGCAGAGACGGAGGGTGGTTGACGTTGTAGGTGTGTCTATTCTTGGGGGTCTGTGTGAGGGCCCTGTCCTGTCTGCAGTCCAGGTAAGAGTCACTGGTGACTGGGTACTTTCGTATTACTCACCAGTGCCACTCTTCTAAACGAAGTTCTTTTTTTCGTTTTAAGGAAGACCTTAAGCTATTTTTTTTTTTTTCTATATTGCTATTCCAGTTTTCTCCTTCCAGATTAGGAATGTATAGAGTTAGAAAATGATAAAGTATATGATTTTGTTCTTTGTGCAAAATTAATGACTATTTCCTCCTTCTCCTTGCTCTTCCATCCTTTGTAAGAAAATCAATTGGAATACACCATCTCAAATTGTTTATATTAGAGGTGGAATATAACAAATTCGTTTGGCAGCATTGTCCCCATTGTTCTCTCCCTGAGGTTACGCTTGTAAGACATCGTGTAAATCTGTGTGTAAATTTAAACGGAAAGACTAAGGTTATTTCTTAATAAGGCCAGAAACTTCAGGGACTTTTCTGCCCTATCCTACTCCAAGCTCAAGGCTTTTTAAGGGTCCAAACCATTTCCTCCCCTCTCAGTGTTTTAAATAAAGTTTGAATGAAAATATTGTTAAATTAGTCATATAAAAATTAAAATTTATACTTATCAAAGCATCATTAAGCAAACAAAAAGATAAGCCACAGACTAGGAGAATATATTTCCAACACACATAAAGTCAAGGGGGTTCTTATGCAGAATATATAAAGAACTCCTACAAATCAATAAGAAAAAACAGGCAAACTCCTGGATGCTATCCCCGTTTACCACCTACCCTTCTGTGGCTCTGGCTTCTTATAGGCAAGAATCTTGTTGCCTATGAGTCTGGGCACTGCACCAGGTGGGGGCTGGCACCCAGATGGATGCAAGTCTGTATGGCCAGACACAGGTCCAGACCCAGCTTCATGGAACAAATAGGTTTTCTGAGGCAAAAATGAGGAGATCTCGGAAGCAGAAACTGTACTTGAGAAAACAATCCTGTGACCTGGACCTCTCACTAGGACTTTGGGACAGAGACAGAAGACTCTCAGAAGGGTAATCAATGTTTATATTTACCTGAGGGGGTGGGAATATATTTTTTATATTTATATAGGAATATTATTTATTTTATATATAAATTTATATTGTACTATATATTCTATATTATGTAGAATATATGTTATAAATATATAAATATAATATATTATAAATAAATATATATAAATAGACTCAAATATGCCCAGTAAAGACAAAAAATGTCAAGTGGAATTTTTAAAAACTGAAAACTAAATATATGTTGCTTACAAGAGTACAAAGTTAGTGTAGTATGCCAATATTATATGAGATACTCCTTAATGCAAAAAGCATTATTAGAGATAGACATTTCATATTTCTAAAAGAATTATTCACCAGGAAGACTTAAATTTAAACTCTAAATTTATATGCACCTAGTGACATTGCTTCAAAATATACAAAACAAAAATTACAGAATGAAAAGAAAAACTGGACAAATCCACATCCTTCGAGGAAGACATGTCTACAGCTGATAAAATAAGCAGACCAAAAATTTTAATCTCTGTATATACAGTAATTAGATAGAATAGGCATTGGCAAGCTATGGCCTATAGGCTGGCCATTAGATTTTGTAAATAAAGTTTTATGGGGTCACAGCCCTACCCACTCATTTACATATTGTCTATGGCTGTTTTCTTGCTATAATGGCAAAGTTGATTAGTTGGGGCAGAGACATTATGGCCGTAAGCCTAAAATATTTACTATTTGGCCCCTTAAGAAAAACTTTGCCAATACCTGATATAAAAGAGCAGACAACATGATTAATAAATTTGAATTAATTAATGTATTTGGAAAACCTCATCCCAAAATGATGCCTAATTTTTTCAAGTACACATGCAACATTTACCAAAATTGTCGAGCTCTAATACATATCGGTAAATTTCAAAGGACTAAAATCCTTTGTATGGAATTGATATAGAAATAAACCACAAAATGATATATAGAAAACCACAAATATTTAGAAGTTAAGTAATCTGCTTCTAAATAACTTATGAGTCAAAGAAGAAATCACAATGGAAATTAGAAAATATTTTTAATAAATTATAATGAAGATATGGCATATTCAAACTTTTAGGATGCAACTAAAGCACTGCTTAAAGAAAATGTATAGCAAGTATATATGTTAAAAAAAGAAGAATGCCTGAAAATTATTGTATTAAGTATCCATTTCAAGAAGTTAGAAAAAAGAATTGAAAATAAAACTCAAAAAAAGTAAAAGAAAGTAATAAGAGTACAAAAAATGAAATAGAAAACAAATTGACAGTGGACAAAATGAACCAAACTACAAGCCAATTATTTGAAATGACTTCTATTATTTTTATACCTTAAAAAAAAAAAAAAAGACAGGCAAGCCCACTGGGGAAAAAATAGGTAAGAGACTTGAACAGACACTTCACTAAAAAAGCTATCCAGATGGTTCAAAAACACAATTTCATTAGCTATCAGCAATACAAATTAAAACAATAATGAGATTTCACTACACCTACTAAACTGCTATAATTCGAAAGGACTGACAGTGCTGTTCCACTCCTAGTTACATACCTAACTCCTAGATATGTATTGTTGTATTCATGTAACAGAATATTACACAACAGTAAAAATGAACAAACTGTTGCTATACCTACCAACATGGAAAAATCTCACTAATACAATGTTGAGCAAAAGAAAGCAGACACAAGGAATACAGCCTTTTTGCTTCCATTTATATCAAGTGTAAAAACAGACAAAACTGTACTGTCATGTTAAAAATCAGGATAGTGGTACCTTTAGGAAGGAAAGAGGAAGTACATGGTTATGTTTGCCTGGTGAGAATTCATTCAGATGCATACTTATGACTTGTATTGTTTTCTATGTGTGTTATACTTCAGTAAAAAGGTTAAATTTTTAAAAATTAGGATATTTAAACATAGTATATACTACTTTTTTGCAGCTATTTTTCTGACTAGAATATTCTATTCTATGATAAAGTGCTCCTTGAGTTTTTAAAGGTAGTTTACAAAAAACCTGTAGCCAATAGTGTTGCTAATAGGAATCAAATGCTTATCTCAGTCTTCTCTACATCCCTTGACCATGTATACCCATACAGACAGATGGACAGATGGATGAATGAAGGGTCAGAATGATGGAGAATTAGTCATAGCATTTTTTCCAAGACCTTCCATTAATTTTGGCATAGAAAAAGGTGACGTGATAATTCAAGAACAAAGATTCACCTTCCACCTGCCCCCCGCCCCCACCACCAAAGAAAAGGCAGGAAAAAATTCCCTAGTGGATAAGATCCACCCAGATCAATTAAATCAGAGGGAGGTTTGAGTATTCATGTATATTTTCTTAAAGTTTCCTAAGTGATTCTAATATTAGCCCAAATTAAGAATCACTACATTTAAGCAATTTCTAAATATGGTGCTTATGTTTCGTTGTTTTAATAATTAAATCTACTTATGATATTAAACAATATGAGAATTCATGGTTTCACATTTGAAGGAGGTGGCAGCACATTAGTTGAACAGAGAGCAGTTTGAACTTCAGAGAACCCTTGCCTTTACTGATTGGTCTCTGTGTCTTTCACTTGTCACTGTCACCTAGTGGCAGTGTACTTAAATTCTAGGGCCAGTTTTCTGTGAGATTAGTTAGACCCTTTGGAGAACTGAATTCTGTGAAATTGAAGTCGTAGATCACAACTCTGTGCAAGTGTTAATGAACGATATGCACGCTGATGACACTACAAAGTTATTTCCTCACACTGTTTTCTGTTCCCACCTCTTATACTGTGACTTGACCTCAGCAATCAGACTTTCTGAGGTGAATGCACACAGTTATTAGCGCTTTTATGAAAATAAGATAAGCCTGAGAAGAGAGGATTTCTTCCTGCCTCAGCTCTGGATTGTCCCACACCAGCCTTGCCAGTGACCCGGAAATTCAGAGGATGATGGTAAAAGACAAGAGCCAAGGATTGTAGTGAGATCTGGACTCTAAGTTTTGAGAGAAACACTAAAGAATTAATTCAAAATTCCTAACATTGCAGATGCTGTTGTATGTTTTTTAGTGGCAGACTAGAATATGAAACGTATTCCAGGATTTTTTTTCTAGAATCATAAGTTTTCAGAAAGGAAGGTTTTAGGGGGATCTAATCCACTCTTTTTATTTTTACAGATGAGCAAACTGATACCAGAGAAGTTAAGTGACTTGTCCAAACTCACACAGCTAGGAAAGAACAAAATCGAGACTAGATCCTACTTTTCTTACTCCCAGTTCTGAGTTCTTCCTACTATAACATGCTATTTCTACTTTCTGTTTAAAATTGTCCGCACAAATTTTATGTTGCCCTAAATACGTTTTTTAAGTCCCTGAAACATTTCTTTAAGTCCAGCTTTAAAAATAAAATTTTGCATTAAAGCATTACTCCCCAATCCACCTCCATACACACGTATATACAGCTTTGCCACCACTCATTTTTCTAAACTCCAGTGCCCTGATGTTCAGTGTTTTAGAGTGTGTTGCAGAGTGTGAAGTTGCAGACAGGGAAAAGCAGGAGGCTGTAGGAGCAGGCAGACACCTGATCATGGGGTGGGAGGAGCTTAGAAAGGGTGTTAAGAAATTTAGGCAGTTGTGATAGTTGTGTAGAGAATGGATTTGAAGAGGACAAGAATAGATGCAGAGAAATTAAAACACTGATGCAATGGTCAAAATAAATTATAAAAAGATGAACTGAAGAATCTGGAGGTAAAATTGACAAATTTGATTGGATATGAGGAGTGAGGAAAATGGGAGAGTCAAGGATAACCTTCTACTTGTAGACAGAGGTACCGCTAAGAGAAAATGAGAATTTTGAGGAGGTAGGGAAGAGATAGTATGTTCACTTTGGGACATGTCAAACTTGAAGTACTAGTGTCCAGCAGAGTATTAGATATATACCAGCATGATGCTTAGGAAAGAGGTCTGGGTTACAGATAGCAGACTGGTAGAAATGCTTCAGGAAGACTAGTCTACATAGTGCCTGAGGTGGAGTTATAGGAGATAGGACTGGACAGGCAGTACCGAATCATTTTTTTGAGATCTTGTATGCAACACGAGGGAGTTAAGACTTCATCTTTCAGGTTATGGGAGCCACTAAAGGATTTTAAGCAATAAAATAACATACAGATTTGATTTTTAGAGATGACTTTAGTTGCAATGTGGAAGATAAACTGGAGAGAGGGGAGGGTAGAGGCAAATAGGCCAATGAAAAGATACTTGAATAGAGAAAAATATAAAATGATTAGAGTCTGAATATGGTATAGCAGCAACAAAGCTGCAAGGGATAAAAAGAGTCAAGTAATATATATATAGAATAATTCAAAAATTCAACAGATATATGTGTATGTGGCAGAATAAAAGCTATAGTCCTACATGAATACTTACAGGCTTCAAGCTTCCTTTAGCTTTCTATGCAGGGATCTTGAGTCATTTTTTT